TTTTTTTACTTTCAGGTTTTTTTGTTAGATGTAAATAAATTAGCTGAAAAAAAACAGGAATCATCAGTGTGGGGTTTTTATTTACGCAGGCCAAAGTGCCCATGCTGTTGATCGGACAGCTTTACGCGTCGTTTAAGCACGGATAATGGATTTACAATTAGACGCCATTTTGGTGATTTTTGTTTATCTCGTAGTTATGTTATTTACATGTGTTCGAAAGAAAATTTTCGAAGTTAAAAATAATTAGAAAAGGAAGTTATTTACATCCATTTTAACAAGTGTTTCAGTTTTTTGGAGAACGAGTACCTACAACTTTCAACCTTGTTTCAAAAGTAATTTATTATCTGGTAATGTCCCTTTATACAGTGGAACGTCGATTGCCTGAACGAATAAGGAGACAAATCTGTTCAGATAAACGATTTTTCGGGTAATTGGCCTTGGTTCACACAAGTTTCGTATATATCATGAAATGATTGAAAATAAAATAATTCTGAAAATTGGATGTCGATTGCATAACAATAAAAATAGTAAATGGTCCCGTCATTTTTTCATCTGTATCAGTGTTTTCTTCAACAAAAATAGAATCAAAAATATTATCTTTGCCTGTAGTTTTATATTCAGGATTATCTTCACGTATTTCTAGTCATTTCTGAATATTATCAGAATTTAAATCTTCAATTTCATTGTATTGTAGTGTCAATGAAAGCGTTGCATAATTCTCTACAAAACATTCATGACTCATTCTTTGTCCTAATAATCGATATTTTGACTGGTCGACGTGTCCAATAATCGATATTCGGAAAATTAACGTTACACATCAGATAAATATAGAGGTGAATGTTCGAAATAATTGTGCAACCTTTGGAAACGTCTGTAATACTTTTTGAACGGCCGAAAGTAATATATTGGATCACTTTTCCTTAATTTTCATTCTTAATTTAAGGAAGAGGAAATACAGCCACAAGAAGTCCAATAGGTGATTGCGACAAGTGAGCAAGCTCTGTGTGACACCTTTTGAAGTCGAAATGTCACGTAGAGTTATGGCTTATGAAACCAGCCCTCGCGTCCGAAACAAGGTCTGTTATTGGATTGGCGGGAGAGTAATGTCGGTTTTGAATAGTACACCGTCAAACAAAATAGTTGTCCACGCAACTACTGCTTCCCAAGAGACGCTAGCAAAAATAGCATTCCTGTCTATACGACGATGATTTGTAGTTTGGATTGCGGTGTCCGGTGTGTGACACTTTGCCAATTGTGAACTTATCTGAAATGAAAAATAATCATCGACGTTTATACTGTGGGTTGACCAAAAGGTAATGTCAGATTTCTGGAGTCGATGATGCATTTTTTAGTTTTTCACTGCAACGCACTAGCTCATGATTAATAAAATATAGTGACAGAATCATCCTGTAAAAGGGAGAAGAGACTAGTGTCTTGACTTACACAATTTTAACAGCAAAGTTCATTCAGTCTCGGTTCAACGAAGAATCGGTTCATTTTTAGCTCAGTTCAGAATTGGCTCGGTATTAGAACAGTTCAGGTTTGACTGAACTTTGACAGAATACAGATTTAATACGGTCTATTGTTTCAATTCCATCAATGTCACTGCACCATATTTATAATGAAATGTATATTAGCGTTAAGGTATTTAGAATGGAATCGAAGGCGATCGCGAGACTTTTTCGCAAAGACGATCTCTTAGTAAGGTACATTCAGTCCAGTGCATCGTTGACTTAGAGAAACTGGATTTTGTTCTACTGCGAGCTATATAAAAAATTAACATTTCTAAGGAAAAACTTGTTTCAAATAACCTCACAAGTTTCCCATTTCCGGATCTTCTAACATTTCTGTTGCATCCTGTATACAGGGTATAACAAAAATGTTGTCCGACCCGGAAATGGAGCACTCGGGGGGTGAATTGGAACAACTTTTTCCTTAGCAACAATGTAATCTGAGGCTTCGTTACCGAGATATTAACGAAAAACCCCGACCAATCAGAGCGCGAGTTTGCCAGCCGAGTTCCCGAGCTAGCGGCGGCTACGCGCTGCGATTTGTAGCCAACGCTACCGCGGGAACTCAGCTGGCAAACTCGCGCTCTGATTGGTCGGAGTTTTTCGTTAATATCTCGGTAACGAAGCCTCAGATTACATTGTTGCTAAGGAAAAACTTGTTCCAATTCACCCCCCGAGTGCCCTATTTCCGGGTCGGACAACATTTTTGTTACACCCAGTATAGGAAATGTAATACATTAAAGGGAGAACGGAGGAATCAACGGTGAAAGTGCTGGAGGTACAACGTAAAGTAGGGCGAATTAGAAGCGACGCGCACGTGTCGTCCTGAAGTAAATTCGTAGTTCTCCGTTAAGAATCGCTCGGACGGAAAATAGAGGGCGGATAGGATCAAAGGGGGTGAGGTCAGGACCGCGCTTTGGGGACCGTACGAGGAACGTTCGTAGATCGCGATACGGTCTATTAAGTGTATGCAAAGCAGAGTTAATTTCATTGAACTTTCTCGGTGGCTCGGACGCGCTAAACTTTTGCCTCGCGGCCATGAAATGTGGGGGTTTAAACGGCCATCAGGAGAATGCATAATGAGGATGGGAAAACTATACCTGGTGCAGTGGCTGCGCAGAGTAAAATACTTGACGGCACGGCAGCATCGTGCTTAACTCGCTGGATACATGGCTCGCGCCTCCACTTGACGGAAGTTACTGTATTACCGTGCATTACGGGGAGGCGTTGGCGCGAGTGACGAGCTTCCGTGTCATTCTTTTGCCCTGCGCTGCCGGTTGTGCCGCGCCCGCTACAAACAGGATTTATATGGAATCACTTTACCGGAAACTTTCTAATTGAATAGCGAAGATAGAGGCTGGGTCTGATAACAATATTTGCTATAAACATTTCTACTTGATATTGTTTCACCGATTAGTGTCTTGTAGTAGGATGAATTGGGTATGTATAATATATTTTATTTTATATATTTCTTTTATCCAGAGTATAATTTACATTACTGTACAAAGTAAAATCCCATAGCGGAAAAAAGACTTACGTACTAAACATTATCACCAAGAAATGTTACATTTATTCTATATATATGTATTTCGTAGGTTAGTATCGGCATCATTAACAGGAAGAAACTTTTACTTAATTATAAAATATGTTTAAGGATATTTTAAATTTCTATTATGGCTATATTTCTAACTTCCTTACATAAAATGTCCTCAAAAAGCATATAGGTTACAATAGCTCTGTTATGAAGAATGTATTAATTATATCTAACACATTGCTTCTGCGCATGAGTAGAATGAGACATTTTAGTATATGTTTTTTGAAGACATTTTATATAAGCAAAATTTGGGGAATTAGCAGTCTAGTATATGATATGGAAGTGTGTAAAATACAACAGTAGCTTTTCTCGTGATTTGGAGTTCTCATAACCTTTTATAGCCACGTATGACTTTGAAGTCACGAACCGGTATATCGATATTTTTTGGTCTAATTTAATTTTATGCCGTTATATGGCATACACATCGTTTTCTATAACCGATAAGATTTTTTGTAGTGATTCTTAAGTCTAGCTTGAGATATCGGAGTAATAATAAAATCTAAAATTCATTGTTAACTCGTATTTAGAGTTTGAGATTTGTTGGTTTTACGTTAGACTAATTTTTGTTGAACACAAAAATTCAGGCTATAGAAGGTTAATTGTACAGTGGCCTGTCTGTCTTTGTCACATTGGACATCCGTCTCTTGAACCCATCCATTCGTTCTTTATCTCTTACTTGGACAAATAAATTTGCATGATGGCCAACGTGAATCCCCATTTCAGCTATAATTTATAAAATAGGAAAAAATTCTTCATTGAATATGCAAACTGCTAAGACAGTAACATTTACCACGGCCTCTTTTTCATAACGTATGTGTTTTGGAGTAAAGGTCCAAATTAGCGAGTTTAACCTTTGTTATTACTTTATGTGTATGCACTTAAACATTATCCTAATAAATTTGTCGAAAGTATATTTGTCAATTAATTTTTGAAACTTTTTACATTAACGACGATTTGTATAATTTGAGTACTAATAAGTGCGATCGTGCTTTACGCTTGAGTCCAGCTTGAGTTTCTAGCGGTGCACCGCTTTCTTGAAATCCGTATCGTCGAATTCAGACTTTGCGTTTTGGGTAGACATTTTCAAAAAGTTGTACTTTTACAGACACAATAAGAAACCATCAATGTTTTAACCTATCCAAATGTAAACATCACCTTACTTATGAGGTGATTCGTATTGTTCTTTAAATTTTAAATCGATTCTAGGCGCTGATTAATAAACATTACATTGTGTTGGACGCTTGGAATAATGTTTTAAAAATTACTTTCTTTGGAACAATACAACGGGAGTTTCTGTGTAGCTTATTTTTACTAATTGTACGAAGTGCTGTGTTTTTATACTCATTTGAAAATGTTTTCCGAGCATGGTGAACGATCAAAAGATGCTGTTGATTCAATTATATTTGCTGAACAGTATCCACGGTACGTTCCTGTTTCCCCTTTTCGCGTCTCTGGCGCAACAATTGCACAAGTTCATAGTACCCCTCATACAGCGTGACTCTTATATAATAAGATTACACAACGATGCTACCATTAGTCTGCAGAAAAAAAAGAGGATCATGAAAATGGCTTTGGGCGCGATTAACGACCCATAACAGGTGGATGAAACCGAACTGTTTACCAACCGGTTTCATATCCTTTCTTTTTTCAATATTCTATTCATAGTCGACCACTTACGTAACAGACGACAAATTCGCGTTATAGACGCAAACTTTCTATAGCGACACGCTCGCACGTCTGCCGAGGGTTACAGTATGCAAAATTATGCAACGTTGTCCGTATAAATGATTTTACAAAATGAGTACAGAGTCTCAATTAACTGCAAGTTTCACAATAATGTAATTTGTTACCCCAACCTGTGCCGACTAATGGTTTCCCTTTCTTTTTTGTTGCAGGTGAGTCACGAGAATTACTAAGGTTATAAATGGGTGAATAATTCGCAAGGAACAAGATACAGCATGTCAGTATTGAGCTGGTAATTGTTGAGTTTACTCAAATTTAAAATTAATAATAATCTGTTTATATTATGAAGTTAAAAAAAAAAAGAACAGTATCGATCTAGTCACAACACAACCCATCGAGCCGCCTTAATTTAACATTTACTAACGACCTATACGCATTGTAATGTCAATAGTAAGGGAAATTCAACGTCTCATAACTGACCTAATAACAACACGAATCGTCAGGCCGACTCAAAACACAACCTATTAACGATCTATTCACACGTATAACGTTCATAGAAGGAGAAATCCCGATTACTAACGGTCCGAATCCGTTACTAAATATCTCTAGCCGTCGAAATCACATGGATGTTATTTGTTATATCATACTCAGTACAGAGACCGTTATTAACGGCTTATACGAATGCTGCTTGCTTGCTGAATGAACGTTAATTAATCAAAATTGTACACTGCGTTGGATAGAGGCGAGGCGGCAATATGCGACACACGGGTCAGGAAAGATCATTGTGCGATTACCGATCGGAATCGAGTATCTACGCAGCTGGACGAAGCGTTCTCTCAGGCTAGAAATGACAGGTCCTCGGGATATAGGCCCATTAACACCAGGACATAACGACCGGGGGTCGTTAAACTTGCTTACTGCACACTCACCTGCCTGCGATCGTGCAATTCTTCTCTATAGTTCGCGAAGGAGGTGTAGTGAACTCATAAATTAAAGAAGCCGATTATACGTTTGGCTGCAGTATCGTGAAAAGCAATGGATGCAGTACTCATATTCTCGATTGTGGCTCAATAGACAATGCTTGGCTAAAAGCTAGCAACCATGAAAGGAAAATATTGCCTCTAGATAATTTAACGCCTGTCTGACCTTCTATAACATTATCTAAATAACTAAATATGTCGAAACCTAATTTTAGGAATTATTTAACGTAGTTTCTTCTCTTGCATTTTTGTACACAGCATTGTTCAATCGTCTGTTTTGAAACTAGAATAAGGTTACCAGCAGCATTATAGCAACGCAAATAATTCAAGTAGATACATTGTAGGAAAAGTTCCTTTTGTGTCAGACATTTAAGGTTATTTCCAAAAACAAGATGATTATACAACAATAAAGTCCTCATTAATATTAATTGAAAGTTAATATTTATATAGAAGGTACGACACAATTCGTGGTAAACTAGGAAAAGATGGTATCATTAGCTGTGTTGAAAAGTTTTGTCATTTTTTATGCATTTGTTAATGACGAAATTGGGAATTTTCGTGTAAAATGTTGACTGTTAATCGGCCAGAAAGATGAAATATATTCGTACATAATATTACCAATTATGTTTCAAATTTAAAATGCATATATTTTACAACAAATCAAGTAAAAATCGCAATAAATAATAGAATTGTTCGACAGATCTCATATAAAGAAAAATAGATCGAATAGGTCAAATAGAAGTGGTTCGTGTAGAGCTTTTGTTCTCAACAAAAATCGGCTTCGTGATTTCTATTAGGTTGTTTTCTTTTTTCTATTCATGAATGCATATATCACGAGTTTGATTAAAGTTTCGCGTTCCACGGAATACTTAAAGGAAAACTTTATTATTCCTCATGCACTTGAAATTCGACGTGGAAAATGTAAAAAATGACCCGACAAAGATGCTCCCGTCCTTCATTTTATCATCCCGCGCGAACTTCCAACAGGCGGCAAGATTACTTCCCATTTTTCTGGTTTGAAGTGAACTACAGGGAGCAACTTTTAAATTTGTTGTGAGATATAAGCTAAAAGCCTGACATCCCTTGCATCCAGGTTAATGAATAATCATTTTTCTACTTTGTAACCGAACCATAATTCCGAGACACGGACAGGGTAGATGAATTAATTGCGTCAATATTTTTAGAGTATACTAAACAGTATTCTCAGAATATTAAAATCCAAATTATAAGATAGAATACACACAAAATAAACATAAATATTCAATTTAAGACAGATATAAATAGAGACATTGTTGTGACGAAGAGCAATTGAATTCTAATGAAAATCAAAATATGTAGGATAACTGCATCTGTAATAATATCTCGTGAAAAACATGCTAAAATCTATTCATAATGAACTGAACTAGTGACCAAGCATCTGCAGGAAAACATATTATAGTTGCAACGTCATATAAGTAACGTGTAGTAAATGAGAAGTATTTCAGTGAATGTTGATTGTGTAAAAAATTGAGCCGTGAGAATTTTTTTTGGGAGAAGGCAAGTTTAATAAATCTACGAATGCATGCATATTAACTGGGAGGTTAATGACATGCTTCAGCAACTTATGTAATCTGTTCTTACATTTTTGTTAACGGAAACAGTTTTCTTTGTGTCTTGGTCAACGTACACTCAATACCGTCTACTTTTTAGTGCAGCATTTGCTACAGATGGGGATACGAAATTCGCAAAATTACAAAGCCAACCTTGTTTGCCCAAGATGTAATAGTGATTGTCTCAAAAATTAATATATAATAATATAAAATTTTGAAATTGTATTTCTTTATTTTTATAATAAAGATATTTTATAAATATAAACACGTTTAAGAACAATTTGGTAAAGAGTTTCCAAGATACTGAAATGGTTATAAATAATAAACACACGTATAAATATAACTTTAAAAGCTCATTGATGCACGAATTAATCAATATTTTTCATATCATTATGGATTTTTGCTTCTCCTGTTTTGTTTTCAATCGCGACTGAAAATCTTTAGATTTTAACCCTCTAACGGCGTTTAACGAATATACCCATCTTGTGACAAATAAAATACGTATTGCTATAAAAATTGAAATTCTAGTAAAAATTAAAAAATTTGTTTCTCTTATTAGAATAAAGGAATCAAATAGTTACACATTACCATAACAGAATTCCACCGTTAAAGGGTTAACAGTACATGACTTATCGTACATGAAACACAAACAATTTTTTTTATCTCGGACTAATTCGATATAAATATATCAATTTCCCTTCAGTTGAGAACGATTTGAATTTGGTTAGGCCATATTAGTTTCGCTTACCCTACAATAAATTGTTAGAAAGTTTCACCTAAATGTTATCTTAATAGAAGTTATTTTAACTCGATATTTGCAAGATCGCAAACTCGATATTTTCCAACGTCGTTTTGTTTGTTTCTGTACGTTCAATAGCGAAGCGAGCAGTACTGCGTCAGCGAACGAGAAAAAACGAATTTCGATTATTTTTTTGTTTCTTTGTCATATCTACCAATTCGGAGTTAAATGGTTTGTAAACGCGTATTCGATTACTAGGACGATTTATTCCGTTGCACGAAGTATGCCACGTATAAACCGGGAAACTGGCGCGTTCGAGCTAACGAAATAACTAGTTTCGGTAACTGAATATGATTCGGGACGCTCGTGACTGGCCATTAATAAATTCGCGACTCGTTCTCCCTTTACACAGAGTGTTTCTGGACGAAAGGTCAGCAGGCTGGTAGCAAACCAGTTTCACTCTTCTTAAAGGCAGTTGGAATTACAAGACTCCGACCATTCTATAATAATTACCAAATCTTCTTAAAAGTTTCATTGGTTTGGAACAGTACACTTCGTAATAACAGGATTCTGCCGAAATTGAATATTTTCGTTGAATATAAAGTCTGTTATGCTTAATACACTTTTACAGCAAGTTCTTGCGTTTTTTGGTAGCGTGTAATAAGGTAATGGATCTTCGTACCTAAATGATTTTATTTCTCAAAATAATTTGCTAATTCTGCACATGTTTAGTGTGGATTTGTTTCAATACTTTTAAACAGATTATCGTTTTTTACCACTATTTGCCTGCCTATACGTGGGTAGTCTTCAAGTATCTCATCTCCAGATCGAAATTTTGTTAACCGAAATTGTACTTTACGATCATCAAGAGCGTCTTTCCAAAATGTTTGATGTATATTTCGAACTGTTTTTGTTGCTTTAGGATCGAGTTTACATTCATAAACTGAAGCAGAGCGAGTTTTTACTTCCATGCACCTGACGTTTAATACGTTCTAAAATCATCTCTAAGATTCAACTGATTCGAATAATGCAGCTCGTCTTCGAATTGAACGAATGACATTCGATCCCCAGGAGCATCTAAATGTGAAATATAATGTTACAAAGGCAACAATTTGAAAAAGAAAAAAAAACGACAGCACTTTCTGCAGGACCTTATATTTCTTCCGGCCGTATAAAACTCTCGATCTGTAAGATCAAGAAATACAGGAAGACGTTGTTAATGTTCGTCTACCGCTAAAAGCCTTTTTCTTTGCGGAAAGCATCAAGGTAATGGGGAAGAGGGAAGTTGGTTGAGACAAGTGAACGGAATGTGGGTGATAAGCTGGAATATAGATACTCAGTTAGTGAATTGTAATTTTTTAGAATAACAGAAATCACATGATTTTGATGAAATTTCGTATGTCTGTTAAGCAGTCAAAAATAAGGGATACGTATTTTTTTTATCGGCTGATGCGCGACTTTAAGGGGTGAAACCACCCCTCGAAGTTTCGACCCAAAAGTACTACCTCAAATACCAGAGGATCGAGACATGAAAACTTCTAATGGACGAGGTTTGTGGTTTTTTATGTAGAATAATATGGTGCTAACAAATTGTCCAAAATATAATTTGTTTATAACCAACAAATTTCGGATCGAAACTTTGAGGGGTGGTTTCACCCTTCAAAGTCGCGTCTCAGCCGATAAAAAAATACGTATCCCTTATTTTTGACTGTTTAACAGACATACGAAATTTCATCAAAATCGGAGGGGTACACTTCCGTGCCTTCCCTTGTTAGTACGTTCCAGACTATCATTCACATTGTGAATTTCTAATGATTGGTCTGGCGTTTATCGTGCCAACCGATGTGGTATATTTTATGCACTAGAGCTGATTAGTTTCCATTTAGTGCAAAGTGAACAAAAATTTCAAATTACCTACTTGTAAACTTTGCACTGGTAGGTAAGTAACATTTA